TTCAGAACGAGTACCTTGCCCTTGTCACTGAGAAGAACAAACAGAGATTTATCAGAGCCAGCTGAGTTCAAACCTTGTGTATTCACAGAAGAGAAAAGGAGTGTGATAGTTACTGGAGACACTCTCCACCTGGGGATGGAGGCCCAATCTTCTTACCTGCCCTGATGATATCTTGGGAGGTCTGGTGCTTACCATGAGGCCAGGATCCAGCATGTTGCCAAGGCTTGTCCAGCCCTTAGACTATTACAGCTCTTCCATGTGGGCACCAATAGTACTGCTGGGTAACCCAAGACATGTCAAGAGTGACTGCAGAGCTCTGGGGGCAGGGGTAAGGCATTGGGGCCTAGGCGGTGTCTCCTCAGTCCTGCTACTGAGGCTGAAGGGCTTGAGCAGAAGTCAACTCATCTGACAGGACAACACCTGACTGTGTTGCTGGTGATGTAATCAGAGCATTCACTTCTGTGACCACAGGATATTCTCTGGTCATGCACAAAGCACTTCAGACACACAACAGCAAAGCTAGCATAACAATACAAACATAACAATAACATAGTGAAGAAATTAACTCCTCCCTTTTCTCTTCATATTGACTTTGATTCTTTTTTCTGAACTAAAAGATGCTGCCATGCTGCAACCATAATCAGTATTCCAAAGCTGCCACAAAGCCTCTAGACCCAAAGTCATGTTGCAACAGGTTTTTAGTGATGGAAAGTGAAAAAACATTATGGAGAAGCCTGTGAGAACTAGGTAGAACCTTTTGAATGAAGGTAATTGCTCAGGAGTCATCAGCAGAACAAAGCAAGTAAGTGCCAGTACCAGTCATAGCAGCTGTAAGAGTGCCATGAGTTGTTCAGCAGCATCATGAGACCTCATGAAGCAGAGGGCACAAATAAGAATGTAGAAGCTTTCATGGAACATGTTTGAATCTTGTTTAAGGAAAAGAAATATTGTTCACCATCATCTGTGGTTAGGCATTATTACTGTGTGTGTAGTATGTTGCTATCTGTGACGTTGTATAAATACGAGGGGCTTACAGAATGGTGTTACACCTCAGAAATTCTCCTGCAAACAGGAGGACATCTGTAAGGGCTTCCCTGAGGCCTCACAGGACTTGTCTGTTGCAGCAATTTGAGATACAAATAGCAATCAGGACAGTAGCCTTGAGACTTCCCCTGAGGCTCAGCTGCATTATAGTTGGAAAACCTACAGATATTTTTGATCTCTGTCCTGAAGAAGAAGGTCTGAAATATGACCCATGTGAATCGTAGAATAGTTTGGGGTGGAAGGTGGAATCACCATTGTTTGAGGAGAACCATATAATGCAGGGAAGAAAAAAAGAAGTGACTGCATAGAATGGAAAAGAGCAGTCTTTCACACTTGATACCTGTCTCTTGGGGACAGATTTGCCAGGAAGAATATATCGGCTTCTATCCGTGGAAGATGTTCCATGTCATGCATTTGGCTAGTAGACCCTGTAATAGCTTTTATACATTGATTTCTGTGGCAAGGATCAGGGATCCCTTTCAGTTACTTGGTTGTAGGCTCATGATGGGAGTCATTAAATGGCAATGTGTATCCCAGTTGCAACTGCCTCCTTGCTTTAGGCTCTGTGCTGGTAAAATACTCTAATAACCTCAGAGACCACAGCAGCAAAGTTTGTATTTGTGTATAGCACGTGAAGGAATGCTTTCTTTACCTTAACTTCCAGACTCACCTGACAAGCTGGTGCCTGACATGACTTCCTTACATCAAAGAAAGTAAGAGTGGTACAGCCTGATTGTCCAAGGGATAATTTTTGCTTCTGGAAAACAAATGGAACGTCACCAGGATTCCAATAGTAATGTGACTTGCATTTTACTTCTTCCACCTAATATGCTTGAATTCGTTCTTGTTTACATCTGTATATCAGTCTCTGTTGGGCCTATGTAGGGCTCAGATTTTCTATCACGGGCCATGTCTGAGGTTCTAGCTTGAGTGTACTGTACAATTCAAGACAAATGTACGTATGCAGCAAGAAGCTACTAATAAAGAACATGTGATATGCCTGGGTAGTATCTGACAGAACAAATCTAATACACCTCTGTGAGAAGAGGAAGACTTTGTAAGGCAAGTGTTTTTTGATAGAAGCATGAGAGAGTAGACCATGAACATAAACAATAGCAGAAATCTCTGGAAAAGATACATTGGTGGGATAATTGTTTTGGGATGGGATGAACGAAAGCAGCAGTTTATTCTTGTCTTACACACATGGCACAACATACAGAACCAGCACAAATAACTTACAAAATCTCATACACCATGCTTCCTCTCGAATAGCTTCTATTAAGTTACAACACCATAACGAATCAGGTATTTAGTTACGACAGATCTCCAGACATGGATAGTCTCCCATTCAAGGAGTTATTATTTTTGTAAGCTACTTAGACAAACATCATTTTTTACATGTTTAATACAGTACAGTATCCTTAACAGAGTTCAAGATATTCACAATGAGAATTGAATACTTTATAAAACAGCAGAATTTCTCATCTTGGTACAGGTCTACATTCGCTCCTGCCTTGTCTGGTTTACAGATGTGTTACAAGTCGCCTTTACTCAACTTTCCAAGCTAAACATTGCTTTAAATGAAAAAAAAAAAAAAAATCTATTTACAGGGTTTTTTTAGATTTAATAAAAATGTCTTTGCTTCCCTTTCCCATTCCTACCCCCTACCCCCACCAACAACTGCCATTTAACTGGTAGAAATATTAAACTTCAGGCTGCTATAGAAACTTGAAAAAAATTGATGACGACTTGTTGGATGCAAAATGAAAGATAGTCACAGCCCATCATTAATTAAAAAATGTGGATTTTTTTTCTCCTAATGTCAGAATTTGTGTCCATTGGAGACAGATGACTCCTGTCATCTGATTTTTAGAGATAATGCACTACTTACGGGCCAATATACAAAACCTCCATTTTTTTTTTTTTTTAATTACAAGCTGTCCCACTCTCTTTCATGCAATCACTTTCAGTATAAAGTTCTTTCCTTACTAGAAATTGTAACAACTCTGGTTGTGTGGTACTGACTTAAACTCTCCCAGCCTCCATCAGATCAAACAGTGTCTCCCCTTATCCGTGGTCCCACTGATATTGCTGGGTTGACTCACAAGAAGAGTTTTGCTCTGTGATTGCACTTCAAACCCCACTGAAGCCTGTGGGCATCTTTCCTTTGACTTGGTGGCTTTGGATTAGCTCTGCTTGAATATGGCTGGCAAACTCTAGCCCTTAAGCAGTTAATCAGCTTTCTAAAGAAATAAGCAAAAAAGATTCCTCTCCTTTATACATACAATATGCAGGGTTTTTACATTGAGCATTATCATAAAAAGCATGTTTATGTTCTTTTGAAAATGTATTTTTACAGAACTTTATAAACACTGTTATATCAAACACATTCTCAAAAACTGGAGAAAATACCGACACAAAACCTGGAAGAGCCTCAATAGAATTCTTCCAGTACTATTTGTCTACTTGCATATTTCATATTTCAGTGTCCTTTACTGCAAACATAATTTGGCCATATGGGAACAGGTGAAGTCAACAACAAATCTCCAACAGTTTTGAATAAGACCCAGATCTGTTGTTTAATGAAAGTAATTTTACATCCAATGTATGGGTTTTTTACCTGGCATGCCCATTCTGTTACCTTTACTTGCATTGAGCAATACCTTGATTCCCAAATAGTCTCATTCACTTCAGTGGGATTACACGTGACAAAATGGTGTATGCAAAAATACTGAAAATGGTTTTCCCCTTTTTAAATCCTTCTTGTGTCAACAGCTAACATCGTTATATTCTTCTTTATATATATTGTAATTGAAAATGATGTAAGAGTAATATTTGCAAACAATTCTATATCAGAAATCAGTGTACAAACTTTAGGAAATAACCTGCGTATAGTTGTGCTATAGTTCTGATGGCCTAAAAATCTGTCTGTCATCTGGTGTGACCAAGAGTAAATTTCACAGGTCTAAATGTTTTATTTACATACTTGTTTACGTTACACTTCGTACTCCCCCAGCCTGGCACAGTTTAAGTTTAAACATACATATGTCACACTAACATGAAATCAGGATGTTATTTTCCCTTACCACCAGTTTTCAGTACAATCAGTAATGGACATTAATGCATATAATCTAAGCGAAATGCACTTTTCAAGTAGTTTGTCTAACATAATATTGGATAAATTATAACGTGAGCTTGGTTTCCTATCCTGCAAACGTTTAAAAATGCATTAAACTTTGTATATTGGGACTAGTCTCAGTGACTGTAATGTCATTACTCACAGTTCAGGAAGTTAAACAGCAGAATAAGGTTTTGTTCTCTGTCTCGCTATTTTGTTTGTTCTCTAATGAAACAAAAGAAGAAACAACTTTTCTTTAAGTATTACTGAATGGCTTAAAATATAATTGGTGAAAGGTCATTGACTGTAATGTCCTGTATGTTACCTCATCCCAGTAGAAATGCTTTCCCATGGCTTGAAATGCTTAAAGTATAATCCTTGCTAGAGGAAAAAAACACAAGCCATATCTAATCCCAAATTCTAGCTGTACTGTAACATGTGCAGTCACCCATAAAGGAGCCCTTTTAACAAAACAATGTATGTTAACTTGCTCAACAATTTGTAGAATGTATCTATTTTGGTCACTGTAATAAAACAAGTTATATATATACATATTAAAAAATCCAAGTGTAAATAATTATACAGTCTTTCCACACATAAAACAACTAGTCGCACATGATGTGGTATGTAAAGCAAATTACTGAAAATCTCTTCGGTCTTTGGGATGATCAAAGTATAAGTAACCAAAACTTACAAATAATGATTGAATTTTCATAAAAGAAGGTTTTTGATGGAGGGGCAGAAAGAATTCCCCTCCTACTCACCCTCATCCCCCATGGCTTTTACAGACTCGGACCCTTCCCCCAATAAGCCACAGGTGGTTTTTTTTAGATCTAGCGATATATTTTAGTGAGGTTATCTTCTCTATAACAGTACTAATAAGGTTTCCAGTGACTTTTTCATAAAACTTTGTCTGTTCTTATTGAAGTTTATAGTGCTTCAGAAGTTTCAGGCTATTTAAACTCCAGAAATGTATGAATCTGATCCAATTATGTTAAAGTCTAATGAAACAGAAATTCCTTTATTTACGGTGAAAATTTAGTTACCTTCTGTTCTGATAATTCAATCCAGTTTTTATTCCCCCACCCCCCCAAAAAAAAGTCTTGTAGTTACAAGCCTGTAATTATACATAGCAAAGAAAGAAAACTGCTCCTTGCCTATGGAAATATATATAGTTTTTCAAGTTCTAACCCCTCTCTAAGCTGTTAACCATCACACAACATATGCCATTTGGCAATTTGTCTCCTAGGGTATTCACAAATTTCTTTCCAGTGCTCTCCACCTGTTCCTTCTGCTGAAGATCCCAAGGTTAACCGACCAATGACCTCATTCCTTGACCCCCTATCTGAATCTAAAACCAAAAATTCAATGCTGATATCATCAAGGCCCTCACAAGGAATGTCAAAGACAAACAATTCATTGAACACTGCATTGGGGGTGCATTTCTTCACATGGGTTTTCTTTTTAGAAATTCTCTTCTTAGCATGGTACAGGTTCACTTTGACATAAGGGTCTGCAACGAAAAGAAAGAGCACAGATCAGCTATTGAACAGTGTTTTTTAGAAATTCCTCGATCTAGTTAATGGTAAATTTCATGATTTACCAACATAATTACATCACAATGAGGAGATGTTTCAAGTTATTAAAGATGATTGATCTCATCCGATTTTTGTGTTCACATCTGAATTAGTCCCTTTAAACTCCCTTTATTGTCACCAAAGATGTAAACAAGATAGTCAGTGAAGTTTAGGGCGTGATTCATCTGATCAAATACAGGTGTCTCCTTCATCACATAAATCCTGCCCTGTAGTGAATTAACCCTAATAACATCTCTACTACATGCAAAGGTGGTCTGAAAGTACACAAAATTCTAATGGACTCTGACAAATATGTGTCATTACATATTTATGTGTAACAGAAATCTTCTTTTCACATGTTCTACCAGTAGGGGATAATCATTAGCGTTACTAAGACTTATGCAAAGAAACACCTCAGAAAGTAGAGAATAAGCTCGTGCTGAGAGAATGGATGAATGGATGCAATTCATTTCTGTTGTGGTTCTACCAAAGTCAATTAGCTTGATTAAATTGCTCCCACCAATTTTTATTGAACAAATTTAACACTAAAGTTTAAATGTAAGGGTACGTTTGTTGTTAGGGTATGTACTTGACTTTATGTCTGTTCTGTACTACTGTTGACGAAAGGAAGGGAAAATATCCATAATTTTAGCTGTTAACCAAATTTGAGTGTTTGCATTCCTCAGAATTATTCAACTGTTGCAAGATTCCTTTGCTATTGTCTTCAGCAATGGCTATATTTCTTCCTTCAGAGGAATTCTAGAGAATGCTTTAAAAATCATCTCTTTCAAGTACCTTGGCATTTATTTCAGTGCAAATGTGGGCCTGTTTCCAAATTCTCATGGTGCAAAGATGCAGTACAAAATCCTTTCTACTGGACCCAGTCAAACAAGATAGTCTATGTAAACAATCAGCTAATAAACATCAAGAATAGTTGAATACTTTTTTTAAAAAAGTAAAATTAAAACTGAACTGTATTTAGAAATGCTATGCCAAAGTGATCAGAGTGAAATGATTGGATGATGAAAAGGTTTTCGTTTCCTTGAACTGACAATAGTTTGACAGGAGTAAGGTATGATAGAATACATCTTCACTTTCACACTCTATCACCATAATAAACATTTTTAAAATAGGGTTTAATATATTTAAAATGTTCATTTGCTTTAGAATGAATATATGTCACACAAGCATTAAAAATATCAGAATCAATACCCATCAGTGGATTCACACTGTTGTTCATTTCTGTTTAAAGGACATTTTCTGACTGTTACTTCTGGTCAGCTACTAGATAAGACTAGAATGTTTCTCTTGATTTTTATTAGGTCTACTAGGAGACCTCAACACCAGTGATCAAGGAAACCAAGGAGGTTTGTGGAATGGAACAGCTTCTGAGTAAAAAAGTTCCCATCTTCCTAAGGAGATTGAGTTCTGCAATCGTTTAGCTGACACCATAGAAACACTGTTTAACCCTCCTCCTTGTCCAAGATTTATGTTGGGCTGAGGGGAAAGTCACAGAGGAAATAAGGACCATCGTGAGTGCAGTATGTTACTGACACCCAAATATCTATTGAACCTGGTCTTGCTGATGAACAGCAAAAAATGAAGAACTGTCTAAATGAACTAGGTGTCCAGGTGTAGTATGGGTGCCTGTATCTCTTAAAAATATGATATTCCTGTTATAATTAGCAAAGTAGTACTGAGGAAAGCAGAAAGAGCAAACAAAATTTATAGCTTTATTTATAAGATGTGCAGCAAGCAAATGTGTAGTTGGATGCGCTATAGGGTCCACGTGGCTGCTGAGACTAGGAGGGTTTTTGTTTTCAAATTACTTTCCCACCTGGGTCAACCTCAGCCCGACTTGGTCTGTTGAGATCATCTTGCCGTCATGCTGTTATCATGAAATCTCCACTATCTGCTGTGACTTTGGAGTTGGTTATTAAAAGTACACATGCTCTCTCATAATGGAGTGAATTGGTTTGTTGGGCTCCATTTATATCCTTTCTCCTTATGATAGGTGAATAAAATTGAGATCAGAAAGAAGATTTCAATGGAACTCCACTATGTAAATGGGAGCTGTCTATAGCTTTGTTCTATTGGATCCAGGATGGGTTAACTTTCTAGGTAAATTGCAGTATTTTTTGGTGTGAGAAGTAGAAAGACTGTATTATTGGCTGTATTAATCATGATTCAGTGGTTCCCAAAACTACTTCTTTTCAAAAAGAAAATCCTATGAAGTGAAAGAGTATCAGTCCTATACAGAATCAACAGCAGATGTGCTACAGTTGGTATAGTCCTTTGTCGTGTTCTTTTTGTGTGGTTGTCTTATCCTTAGCGTACTGTACATTAAATTTTATCCTGTTATTACGTTATCTAGCATTAATGTGCATCTAAGTGCTGTTCTAATATTGGCTTCAAAGGAGGTTCCACTGAATGCAAAATGCAAAATGGCACGAGACCAGGAGAAGGGAGTGCAAAACCCGTTCCTTCTTAGTGCACCCCAGCTACAGCTCATAATAAAGCACGGGTGTTATGTTACAGCCTGCTTCCAGCACTGGCATAGTTCACCTTTTCACCTTGCCAAGTAAATGTTAGTGCTCAGTGGGCCAAATTCAGCACAGATGTAACTTGTTGCTTTTCTTGGTGCTAAGCTGAAATAAACCATACGATGATCTCACTCAATACTGATCGTCTATAAATAAACTGTTTTTTTGTCATAGATAAAAGCTTTTAGTATCTGCAAACAACATCCCATACTTATGGCAGATGGGTTCTGTTCAAGACAATCACAAAACTCATTGGTTTCCACTGCTAACAGACGTCATGTTTTTTTAACATGTGATTGAAGAACAACTTTGTAAAATACATACCCTGGAAAACAAAGCATTGACCTAGATATGAATAAAATAAATAGGCTGCAAATAATAGCGACACCATTTCTGCATTTATGGGCTATTTTTAGTCTTTGAAATGCCACATTTCAGCTGTCTTCTGTCTGTTTTATATTCTTAGGGCATATTCATTAGTAAAAGCATTACCTGATAATCCTGACACATCAGATTTTGGTAGATGCCTGGCTTTTAAAACAACCACAGTGAGTGTGTTTGTTGTAGACTGATAACAGAGAGAGATCAGTAATTCTCCACGCCCAGATGATTTCTGAGGAAATGAAAGAAAAAAATGAGACTATTTATAAGCAATTACATTGACCAAGCTTTAAACCAGAATTAAGAAGATTTATGAAATGTCACATAACTGTATGTTCTGAAACGGTGTAAAAGGATATAACTTCTGGAGCTGTGCTGCTTTACATAGCAAATATAATTTCCCTCTACTGTAGTTATATAACTCTTCTTATGGTTCGTTATTAGACTGAACAAAAATAAATAATAAATAAGTGAAAATATAGGTTGACATGGCATCATTATCTTCAGAAATTAGAAATGAAATCCTACTTCCTGAGGAAAAAAAATCTCAGTGAATGAAAAAGGTCTTAAGCAAAACAAAATTGCATAAAGATATATTGAAAAAAAAATTAATAAAGGTAATTAAAAAAAAATCTTCAGTAAAATTTTTTAAACAGGAAGGATTCAGACAGTTAGTGAAATCTCATCCCTGACATTTTCTAAAGTAGTATAAGACACATGATATAAAGATGAGATCAAAGACTTTCTCTATGATTATTAGATTTCAATTTGTAGGAGTAGTTCATTTCAGAGAAAGGAGGAAGCCAAGGGAAACAAGCAAAACCAATATTTTATATACCAGAAAACCCAATAAGTTATCAACAAAATATCAGTGACATAGTTATAGTTGTTGTAATATAGCCTTAGAATTGCAAAATAACAGTATTAGTTGTAGGTATGTTGTCTGGTAGACATTTATTTGATTTGGCAGCATGCTTGCTCTTTGAAAACAATCAAATTGAAAGTCAATACACATTCCACTTCCTTAGTAGAGATTAAGAGACGTGTGTGTGATGCATGTGCATTTCTGTGGTTCAGCTGTGATGGTTGTAAATGATCTTTACATTCTGAAATGAGACAAAATGGTATGAAATATTTTTAGCCCAGTGAAGTCAGTATGTTTTGCCATTGACTTCGATAAGGCTTTGGCTTCTCCCTCGTGTCTTACTATCCTTAGTAGAGCTGCAGCCTGTATCACAATTCTTGAGTAGTAGAAGGTAGTAACAGCACTGAAGTGCAAGAACATGCTACTGCATCATCAATATGATCTCCAACAGGTTCCTTAACTAAAGACTACCTGCATTCTTTAAGAATCTGCTATAAACCCCATGTAGTTGAAGTGAAAGATTTACATTGTCTTCAATAAGCTTTAAGAAAGAATGATTTCAAACAGAAAAGGGGAGGGAGGAGAAGGGGAATAATATATAACTCTTTGCATTCTTTCCTTTCAAAGCAAATTAATGTGGATTGAGGCTGTTTGACCTAATGTAAACGGGTCCACCCAAACCTGCTGGATCAGCTGAATAAGCAAGTAGAGTTTAGAACATTAGCAATTTCTTGCAACATGCTCATTGTAATGTTCTTTTATTACATTTGTGTAATTCCTTCCTCATACTGCCATTATGAAAGCATCTCAATGACTTGCACGATGAGCTTGTTCCCTTTTCTTTCCAAGATGCTAGCAGCATTACGCAAGAAACATAGCTAACACTAACACAACACTTTTAAAGTTTAAATAAAAAATATGTTACCCTAACATTTCTTTTGGTGATCTCTCTGTCCATTAGCAGCCTTCCTTCTGACAGTTCAATTCCTGCGAGGGGAATGAGGACTTCTCCAATGACATCATCTCTGGAAAACCTGTCAAAGCTCAAGATCATAAAGTGAAGTGTTAAGTCTTGAATTTGGCTATAGGGGATCCCATAAAACGTGAAGGTCTCATCGAAAGCTGGATCTAAGGTTTTTCTCAGCACTCTGGTTTTCACCTTGTGTTTTTTCTCAGGCAGGATTGTCATTTTGATGTAAGGATCAGAAGTCATTGACTGTTCATCCATTGCTGGCAGCCCACGTGCCTCTTTGATGTTCACTACAAATGCCTTTTTCTCAAAGTTGTACTCTAAGGAGAAAAAGAGAGTTCCTAGCTTGTCTTGTTTATCTTCCGATGACAGGGAAGTGATGGATTTTAAACTATCAGGGGATACTGAATCTTTCTTCCTTTCTGCAAAGCGCTTAGGAGACAGATTCTCAAGATCTGGAGAGCTCTGGATTTTAGGGGTTGTTTTGGGGAAGTTGCCATTTAGATCTCTCTTCTCCAGGTCAAGATGGAGAGAATTCTTTGGCATCGCTGATTTGTTCTTTGCTTCACTTTTATCATCTGCTCCAAACTTCTTCTTACTGTTGAGATTCTCAGGGTAAATATCAACCCCCTTCAGAACATGGACAAACTTATATGGAGGGGTCTTATTGGATTTGGAAGATTTACGTTGGCAGCAGATCCAAGCAAAAAGGGAGACAGAGAAGACAAGGCCAAATGCACTAAAGATCCCAACCACTGTAGGAATTTCATCTGCAAATCAAATAAATAGCAACAAGCACATAAGCAGCAACGCCTTGGACTCTGTGTGATATTTCATAAAGTAATAATTGAGTAAAACAAACTGATATGAGATGGTAATAGCAGCAGGATCGACAGACTGAAAGTGCTTTGCATTGTACATATTGCTCGCCACCTGCAGGCATAAATGTGTAGTCCCATACCAAGGCACGCTTGTTATGTTAGTATTTTTCCATACACAGAGTGTTTGGGAGGAAAATACTATTCCCATCCTAATAGTAATAACCGTTAGTAATTGCTCGACTATCTCTTCCCTCTGTGTGTAGTTTCTGAGTTTATGTCTGTGAGTAATACCAGCTTTCAGCAGGTTTCAGCTTTGAGGTTATGGGGTTTTGTTGGTTAGATAAAACAGACCCTGAAATATGCATTACTTATAGATAAATTGTTTTTCACACTGTTTCCTAGAATACCTTGTACACTCAGTTAACTCATTTTTTATGCTCTGATCCCATAATTGCCTGGAGTTATCTCTTGAAAGAACTGAGTTTAATTGGAGGTTATAACGCTCAACAGTTTCAATGGGATTTTCAATACTTTGTAGGAGGAAGTCTATCAAGAAAATTTAGAATAATTATATACCAAGTGTCTTTTCCAGATGGATGTGACATTGGGCAGTCACATGTGAGTCCAAAGCTGAAAAAAACTATTAAGCATGTCATTGATAACCACTAAGCTTTGCATTTAAGACACTATGAATCAAAGCTATGGGGAGTTTACAGGAAGGGTCACTACTTTTTAGGAGTACATAAGAAAAACATTAAAACATAATTCTCTTCTACCTTAATATGAATCCTATACTTAAACTGAATAAAGAGAAAACTGAGCAAGTGTTACAACCTGAATTGTCATGTGGATACCTTAGTTACATATAGAGTACCATTAGCCCTTCAAAGCATGTATCAAAGGGGCAAATGAGCACAACTAATTGGAAATCCAATTTTGCCCATAAGTAACATTACTAAGTGAGTTTAAACCTCCCACAATGTAACAATCAGAGCTTAATCTTTATTCCCTGCAACAGTGGAAGACCAGTAGAATATTAATGGAATGACATTGTTTATGCATAAAGGCAATTGTGTAACAGTTCTGGTTCTCTCACAAATGATTAGCAGATCGTTCTGCATGAGAAAAGCAAAACTATCCCCCTCTATGTATTACTAAATCAGCTTCATCCAGGTAAAAGCTGGGCAGATAGATGTGCTGCCACTCTACCTTTGCTCTTTAGTGGGATAATTCAAAAAAATCCACAATACTATCAGAGCAAAGTAGGACGTAATGTTCCAGCACAGAAAGGATCGGGCCTGGCTATTAATTTCTTCTGACAATATTCATGTCACTTTCCCTTTGCCTACAAGCTGTATCAGGCTACGTACTTAATTGTAAGAACCTAATGAAATGACTGGCAATTATATACATAAGCAAAAAGTATTTTTCCTAAGTTAAGCACGTGGCTCTGAGTTTCAAGAATTCCCTGGGCTGCAGAAATTTAAATATACATGGTATAAAGGTAGAAAGCATGAAGTAACTGAAAACTAATCAGAATACTTCAATAGCTTTTAAGAATGATTTGAGCATTTACAATACTTTTTTATGAGATGACAGACTTTTTAGAGTAATGGATGTTATGCTATATTTTTAATTCTACAACTACTGAAAGCAGTGGTAGAATCAATTTGGTAATTAAAATATTAATTATCTTTGTTAAATAAGTAATTAGTTTAGCATGATGTCACAAGTGTGGTTAGAAACATCAAGTGGGTGGGGTAGGAACGAAGGCAAAATGGTAAATAAAATGGTTTTATATTTACAACTAATTATGTTGCAACCTGAATTTCTTGCTGTTGTCATAATGTAAATCAATGGGTTAACATTCAAGGCAGTGTATTGATAGGAAACATCACCCACTGATCCTGGGAGAAGTTATTATTTCAGTTACGTGATATAAATCTGGAGTCACTTCACTTATGTCAGTGGAATGATCCTTGAATTAAACCATTGCTAAAGCAATTATAATCTAGGCTAGAGTCAATATTTGTAAAGCAGAGTTCAGAAACATTGCTACTTACTGCTTTTCTGCGTAAAGCTATTTATGTACCTATTTTATAAGTGCACATATATGACTGTTCCTGAAACTTCTGGTATCACAGTTGATCACCCTACATCCAGTGTGTAGAAATGACACAACTGAAAAGTTCATTGTTATCATTGTTATTCCCAAGGAACCCAGACTGATCAAGATGCAGCTGTTTAGCTAAAAACACCGGTATCCTGTATTTTCATCTTCCTAGCAATGTCCTTTACAAAACTACCTTTAACTAACGGTTAACAAGTCTTTCTCTACAACAAGAAAAAAGGAATGACAATTATTCCAAGAATGGCTTAAACAAAGATTTTCTCCGTGGCACAGGGTGCATTTACATCATTTAACTCTGAAGCCACGCTACTTTAACCAAGACAGAGAAAACAACCCCAAACCTCTCTCATCTGAAAACGCACCTACACAAACCTCTTCATCTCTCCCGGTGCTTTACCGGCGGGGGG